TTCCGCTTCAGCTCCTGTCTCCAGATTCCTCCCTTTCTTGAGTCCCTGCTCTTATTTCTCTCACTGATGGACTTTTACCTAGAAGTCTAAGATGAAAGATAGTTCCTCCTCAAGTTGCTTTTGGTCAGAGTGTTTTATCACAGTACTAGAAACACTGAGACACTGGCCGTCACTCATCATCACACAGGTCATGTGAACGTGGGGGATGGTAGACCATGACCATTGAGTTCCATTTTTTAATCTTTCTTGCTTGGTGAACACCCCCGAAAGCAGGCAGGTATTGAGGAGAAGGCAGCACCCAGTGACTTGGGGGAAAACTATCCTGCGTTATTTCAATGCAACCTCTGCTGTCATGGGAGGTTTGCAGGCCATTCGGACCTTGGCTTTAAGTTCAAAAACACTCTGAAAAGCTTTTACTCTGTGACCTTTGTCATGCCCTGTACATAGAACTTCTGTGAACACAGACGTTTCTAGTCCCCAGGGCACATGCACACGTGTTGTCTTGGATACAAGCATTTCAGCAGCTCCTATACGTCATACTGCCCTGACAACAGGCGGCGAGAAGCAGCGGGGTATTTCAAAGTGTTCCTCGGTAAAAAGAATCAGTCAGGAGTCAGCTAGCTGAAGAGGCCAGTTAGGGTGGACCTGGAACCTTCAGGCAGCGGTGTTGTCAAAGTGCCCCTCTGCCTGCAGAAAAGGCTCGGTGCACACACAGATTTTGTTCACTGTACTTTGGGCATTCGTGGTTCGTGTCTGAGGCAGTTAAAGGATGCACACCTCATTTTCCTGACATTTCTTCTTGAAATGGAGGACACGAGGGAACAAAAGGAGGAGAGGAGACTGTGTGAGGGAAGCAAGTGGCTCTTTCACAAGGCAGCAGTCCCTAGCTGTCACTAGGAACAATGTCCCACTCTAGACGTGGAGGAGACTATCGGGAGACCCAGCAGGAATGCACTCTGCACCCCTTCTACCATAATATATGCTGATAATTTTATAAGGGGCATAAATTAGGAAATGAGAGGCGGCTGTCAGTGAAGTACAGATGAGAAATGCAAATCTGAAAGCAATACTACATTATTTTAAAAGCCATCATGGGAAGCTATGGTGAAACATTTACGTTTATTCCTAGACATAGAAATTTACTTTTTCGGCCCTGGATCTCCTTAAAAGGAAGTGAAACCCGTCACCTGGCAACAGTCCCCATCCGTGGTGACAGTTGTTGCATGTTTTGATTCCTAAGGCTTCTCAGGCTCTAAATCACACTGCTGTCCTGGTGCTTTTGTTCTGCCCCTGTGACCTAGCCTGGAAATTTTAAAGAACATTTCTTTCTTTCTTTTTTACTCGAAAAAAAAAATAAACCTTGGAATTTTCTTTCCTAAATTCAAAGTAAAAAAATAATGAAATTCTGAAAACTTTATATGTGAAGGACATTTTCATCTGAAATTAAGTAAACAAGATTACAATTAAAATCCATAATGCAAGGCTATTGAATTTTTGTGCTTCTCGAAAACCCAAATTGCTTCTCTCTGGGGGAATGACTAGGAGGAGGGGTGGAGAGAGAAGAGCAAGGGGAGGGCGGGGGTTGAATCTACTCAAGGTATACTTAACACAAAACCATCCTAGTGGAATCTATCACTATGTATGATGAACACAAGGAGTTAAATTTTGTGTTAAAAGAGAAACTACTTATCACAGCTTACATGTCTCGTAAATGTATAGACTATTATTTTAGGTGATCATGATCATGGTTGACAAGAGCAATTCTGACAACTAGATTCTCGTTTCAGGCTAGCTAACACCCCAGCACCCAGCCACGGCATCACATTTGCGGGAGTCCGTTATCACTCCAAAGGTGTTGAAGGCCGATGCAGCTTCCAGAAGCTTCTCTGTGTTTGGTGACAACTCGATGCCTGTGTACGAGTTGAATAATCAAACACCATAACTCTTCTGTAAGCATCAAACTGTCCCAGAGACATAGATGTCTGTGAGGCAACGGAATCAAATCTCACGGAGTATAGTTACATACTACATAGAAATGCTTCCATCAGTGGCAGATCATAGGTAACACTGGTCCTTAATCATAATGGAACTTAAAATTCCCTCTCTTAGTGAGAACTTAGGCACTGTAGTGTCGTGGTACAACACATTACCCACTCATCTCTGATGATACTGGTGTGGACAGTCACCTAGCCTGTAGGTCCCATGAGCACACAGCACACGTAGTTATGTGCAGCACACACTTGCTAACGAATAACTACATTGTTATCTATTTTTGTATCTACTGTAGTGTACTTTTTATTGGTAGAGTGCACTTGTACATAAAATGTCCTAGGATTGGAGAGTTGGTTCAGCAGTTAAGAGCATTGGCTGTTCTTTGGAGGACCCATGTTCAGTTCCCAGCACCCACATAGTGGCTCACACTTGTCTATAACTCTAGTTCAAGGGGATCTGATGCTCTCCTCTGGCATGTGGTACATATACACACAAAACACCCATACACAAAAACAAAATAAAATAAAATAAATGATATCACTCATAAAATTAGTCCAAGGAGCTACACTGCAAGCATCCATCTCCTGCCTACTGAGTCCTCAAGGATCCACATGGAGTGATTGGCCTGCATGATCTACATTTATTTAGGTCCAATGTATCATGCTATCTAAAGGAAGAAATGGCCCTACTTACAGTTTTCAGAATAAATACCTGCTGTTAAAATGACCAATGTCTATTTATTAGGCATCTAACCGAGTGCCGCCCAACTTTAAGGTTATTGTAGTGTACTTTAATTCTGAAAAAAATGAACGGGAGCTGGAGAGATGACTCGGTGGTTAAGAGCACTGGCTGTCTTCCAGGTGAGCTGGGTTCGATTCCCAGAGCCCACATGGCAGCTCAGCACCATCTGTAACTCCAGTCCCTGCAGATCTGATGTCCTTTCTTGTCTTTCTTAGCACCAGGAGGCACATGGCACATAGATGCACATGCCAGCAAAATATCCATACACATGAAAGTTACAAAAAATCAAAAAATTAAATATTATCAGATAAATAAAATAATAACTTATCTCAAGAACATGGTCAAGAACAAATGAGAAATAGATGCACATCTTTAACACTGTGTAACCGTGTCTGATGTTTATACGGAATTTAGAAAAAAAATGCTTTATTTTCTGAGACAATTTCTGTGTTGTATATACCTGCTGTTTCTAAACATTCATTTTTGTTGTGTGCATATATGATGTGTGTGCATGTTTGTGTATGTGCAGGCACGATTGTTGTATGATTAATGAAAATCCAGAGACAGATATTGGGGTTCATCCTGAAGACCAGAACAGCAAAGCAGCCAGCCACTGACTTGTACCTCGACCTCAGTCTGAAATGGCCATCCTGCCTCTGGCAAACCTCAGAATGAGACTGAGCCTGAAACCTGTCTCCTCCCATTTTATAATCCTCCATAGTGCTGAGATTAAAGGCATGCACCAATACCACCCGGTCTATGGCAAACTAGTGTGGTCACTGGGGTTAAAGGTGTGTGTCACCACTGCCTGGTTTGTATGGCTGATCAGTGAGGCTGTTTTACTCCCCGATCTTCAGGCGAGCTTTATTTATTAAAATACAAATGAAATATCATCATACGTGATATTGCATCTACGTGCTGCTTTTAAACTTTCATAATTTCTGTGTGTATATACACTGTGCGTGTGCTTGTGTGTGTGAGAAATGGGTGTGCCATGGCAAGTGTGTGGAGTCAGAAGATGGTCCTACAGGGTGGCTTCTCTGCTGTCACCATGCTGGTTCCAGGGATCAAACTCAGGTCACCAGGCTCACATGGCAAGTCCTTTTGCCTGCTGTGCCATCTTGCTGGCCCTCCATGCTGGCTTTTTAATTTTGCACTGCACTCTTTGAGCGGATTCGATTATTAAAGTATGCGATTATCCCTTGCCCGGGGAGCTAAGTCTCATTAGATGCTCGCTCTGTGTCACACGCTCCTCTTAGGGCACCACATGCAGCATCTCATTTAATTTTACAGCTTTATGAGGTATGGGTTTACATTAGTTATTTGACAGGTAAGGCTGTGAGGACCAGCAAGATGAACTGATGTATTACTGGTCACACAGCTGGTAAGAAACAAGGACCCCATTTGATCTCTGGCAGTCTGACTTAGGAAACCCCGCACAGTCTCACTAGGCCATTCATGGGCTGAGACTTGTGCACAGCAGTCTCTGTGGCAGTGATGAGGACAAAAACAACATAACTATGACAGAGACAGCAACTCCTTCTAGAACTCTCTTTCCTCCCTCTGAAATTGAATGCAAATTAATCATGTATGACTTTCCCTAACAGAGAATCATCATTTATATATACATAAATGACTAGTCTGAGCCTTCCTGAGCCTTCCTGATGTCTATAATACCTGGAGGTTTTCTGGACCTGCAGTTTTCTTGATCAGCCACAGTTTTGTTTTTTTTTTTTTTGTCATTAAGGTAGACCACCAATTCACTAGGATTCACTAGGAGGATAGATTTCATTCCCATATCAAAGAGCAACTTTAATGGACGCTGGAAACCAGTGGAGACCATGCAGAAGATGACGCAGCCACATGAGCCTTCTGTCAGATTTTGAAATAGGCCAAGGGGACCTATTAGCCACTGCTAGGCTAGTAGCTCTCCTGAGAAAGTTGGGTCTAGAAAAAAATCCCAGGCTTAGGGTTCGATGGAAAGTTCCTGTAAATCTAGTCTCGTCTTGAGCTGTCTGGTCCACGGAACTCTCATAGATTTTGAATGCACTGATTTTCACATTAACTACACTTTGTGAATCTGGACCTGGAAAGAGATCTGAATCATGGATATTTAGCACAAGACAGAAAACTTGGAGACCAGCTTGTCCTTCTCTTTATGGTTTGATAGGGGAAAAAGAATAAACATATCATGCAGCGCATCAAGGGTTAAACTGCAACAAAATCATATTGTTTGGCTCCAAGTTTAGACATTTTAGGTGACCTACCAGGAGCAGCTGCAGCAGCAGCACCAGCAGAAGCAGCAGGTGTTGTTGGGCCTCTGGTTTCCGGGTGCTGGAGACACAGCCTGTGTTCCTTCATTTTGGGATTGCTGCCTTTTTCTCATTTCAGCTACTTGGGAACCAGCTGGCTGAAGAAACACAGAAAATACAAGGTGTGAAAGGTTATCATAAAGGTAACTGGAAGGAAACAATATTAGATACAAGGTTTCAGAAATGGAAAACCCAAAACATTGGAATGCTCTCTTCAAAGAACACCCAGGAGCTGGAGAGTGGCCCAGTGGTTAGGATCATTAACCCGTCTCTTGCAGAGGACCCAGATCAATTCCCAGTACCCACTAGGGGACTTGTAAACAGCCTGTATTTCCAGTTCCATGAGACCTGATACCACCCTCTGGCTCCTTTAGGCACTGCACACACATGGTACACATATTCACATGCAGTCAAAATACTCATGCCAGAACCTGGAAACAACCTAAATGCCCCTTGACCAAAGAATAGATAAGAAAAATGTGGTACAGTCACACAATGGAGTACTTACTACACAGCAGAAAAAAATGACATCTTGAATTTTGCAGGAAAATGGATGGAGCTAGAAAACATCATTTTGAGTGAGGTAACCCAGACACAGAAAGACAATTATCACATGTACTCATTCATAAGTGGTTTTTAAACATAAAGCAAAGAAAACCAGTCCACAAATCACAATCCAAGAGAATCTAGACAACAATGAGGACCCTAAGAGAAACATACATAGATCTAATCTACATGAGAAGTAGAAAGTAGAAAAAGACAAGATCTCCTGAGTAAATTGGAAGCATGGCAACCTTGGGGGAGGGATGGATGAAGGGGAGGGGAGAGGCATGGAGGGGAGCAGATAAAAATGTAGAGCTCAATAAAAATCAATAAAAATCAATAAATTTAAAAAACACTCATGCAAACAAAATAATTAAATCCAAAACAATATTTAAGAAACCTCCAGAAGAATTAAGTTACAGCATCACAGAATATATAGGGAATGCAGCAAAGACAAAAACAAAAGATTAAAGCAGAAGAAGATGGACACAACAGGGGGGAAACACAGAGGTCCCAGCACATGCTCGACAGTATTTCCAGTCTGAGGAAAGAATTAACAGATTGTCAGGGACAAGATATTTTAAGGGGAGTTGGCTGGGAACTTTTCAGAAGAAAACAAAACAAACACACCACATGTCGAGCGGGATGCAGCAAACAGAAACAAACCCACACTCACACATAGAGCGAAACCCAGATTTACAAAGCCAAGGGGGATTCTGTGGATCTAATGACAGAGAAATAACATTTTGATTGAAAGTAAGTTGTTAACAAGCATGGTAATGAGGAGGAATATTATGCTTTCCATATGCTAAGAGAGAATAGACCTTCGGTAATTTTATATTCAGCTAAATAAAAACTCAGGAGTGGGGATTATTTCTGACAAACTCAGATATTACCTTAGCCTGCTGGACTTTAGTCATAAGAAAACAAAGTTAGAAGAAGGAGCCATGCCATGTTGGTGAGGAAAGCCCCTCTTCCTATGTGTTGTTTTGTTGGTTAATGAATAAAGAAGCTGGTTTGGCCTGTGATAGGGCAGAATAGAGAGCTAGGTGGGGAAAACTAAACTGAATGCTGGAAGAAAGAAGGCGGAGTGGGGAGAAACGGTGTAGCCCTGCCAGAGACAGACTCCAGGGATAGAACTTTACCCAGTAAGCCACGGCCACATGATACACAAATTAATGGAGATGGGTTAGTTTAAGATATAAGAGTTAGCCAGTAATATGCTTAAGCTATTGGCCAAACAGTATTACAAATAATATAATTTCTGTGTGATTATTTCAGGAGTCTGTGTGGCCAGGAAATGAACAACCTCCAACAACAACACCATGTTAACAATTAAACATTGAAACTGGTAAAAATATGACACCAGACTTAATGACTGGCTAAGATAGAGCCCCAAGTTAGTTAGTTAGTTAGTTAGTTAGTTAGTGAGTTTGTTTGTTTCTTTCTTTCTTTTTGGAAGAATCGGAATTGAATTTAAAGTTACATAAATTAAGAAAAGGAGGCTCTGCCCTTCCTTCCTATTGAAACTGATCTTGTAGACCTCACAATGTCCCCATACCTTTTAACTTAAGACACATTTTCTTTTTCTTGTTTACTGGACCATGGTGGGTTGAATGTCAGAGTGTCTCAGTAAAACTCACACTGAAACTTAACTGCTCAATGTGATAGCAGAAGGGGAAAGCCCTACTGACGATTGGATCATGGTGGGTCAACCTTTGTGAGCTTTCAAATGAACTTCCAATGAGACTGAATTATCACACGAGTGAGTTATTTTACTTCAGCTTGCCATGGTCTACTCCTTCACATATGACTGATTGCTGTCTGTTTTCTGCCTTGTGTTGACTTTGCAATGGACCTATGGACACTAAACAGGTGTTGGGGCCCCATCTTCAAACTCTTCGGCCTCTCAAACTTTAAGGCCCAAAGGGAACTTTTTTTTTATACATTGCCGGGCTCCAGATATTCTGTTACAGTGATGGCGTTAACTAAGACACAGCAGGCCTATTGGTAGCATTCATCATTAAACCAGACTGAACTTATCACCCCCAAATTCTCTGAATTCCTGGTCCCTAGTGTGATGGTACTAAAAGGTAAGGCTTTGGGAAGGGAGTAATTGAGTTAGGGGGATGGTGTCCATGTGAGTAAAATTCCTACCTTTAAATAACAGACCCAGGGGCAATTTCCTGCCTTCTTCCATGTAAGGATTCTAAGAGAAATCAGGAGTTCATCAGAAGCTGGCCATACCAGACCCCAAATACTGCTTCCCAGCCGATGAAACCACAATAAACACACGGCTCTTGTTTATAATCCATGTAGTCCATGGACATTTGTCACAGCAGCCTCCAATGAGTAAGGTAGGAACGGATGACTCTCGGAAGTCCTCTCTTTGTTTGCTTTCCTGAGTGCCACACTCCCTGTTTTCTCTCTCACTCCTCTCTTCTTGCAGGTCAACACTGGTTCTCTCTTCTCATCTCCTTCCCCTTCAAAATTAGGATCGACACATGGATCTACACTTCAAACAATCCTGCCATTTGCTTTTTCTGAAATCATTGATTCTTTAAAAAGTGGATCTACTAGGTTTCTACTAAAAAAAAAAATCTGCGAAATATGATGCCCAATTGAGATTTTTTTTTTCTTTTCAGAATCTAGGACCCTTCATCACAGACAGCCCAAGAATCAGTCCTGCAAAACAAGTTTATTTCTCAACTTGGCACCTCAAATATGGCACCCTAATCTGACTATTATCTTTTCCCTGAAGGACCCCAATGCGTTTTAACCACAGTTATGCCGTTCTGCAAAGGTTTTCAGACAGCAAGCTTAATTAAGGGCCTCCGGAGTTCAGAGCCTCCGGAATGCTGAGCAGATAACAAGCTCCATTAAAGGCCTCCGGAATTCAGTGCTTCCGGAATGCTGAGCAAAGATACCTGAGGACAGCCTTATCTGACTGCAAGACAGGAGATTTATGAATTGGTCATAGAAACAAAGAGAGAGAGGATTGCGAGGCCTGAGTCACGTATAAAGCGGGGCTCGTCACGAGTCAGGGGCTGTGCAATCAGACATCTGGTCGCCAGCCAGGAAAGGGGGAGGCAGGATAAGAGAAACAGTAAACCGCTGAGTAGGCCCCTCATTGTTATCTAGGTTAAGAATTTACCACCCTGCATCTTGCTTCTGTAAACCTCGCTTTTTGCTCTCCTATAAAAACCCCTCACCCCCAACCTGCGGGCGCGCAAGTCCTCTGAGAGACTTTGCAGCCCCAGGTACCTGTGTATCCAATAAACCTCTTGCTATTTGCATCCGGCTGCGTGTTTTCGACTGATCTTTGGGCACGGGGTCTCTCCCAAGGGAAGACGCCCCCGGGAGTCTTTCATCCCCAAACTTTATTTCTTCTCCCAGTTTTCTTAGTTTCAGTAAGTGAAACAGTCCGTCGTTCTAATTATCCTGGCCAATGTTCTCCATTTCTCCAAGGCTTCTCTATTCTATACAGGCCCCACGTCAGCAGCTCTGCAAGTGTGAGGCTGTTAACTGGTCTCCTCTGTGCCCCCCCCCACTACTCAGCTCTTCCCGCTCCACCCATTACTCCTAACACAGCAGCTTGTTTTTCTCTTAGCACATAGACCAATCATTTTGGCGAAGAGTCTCCATTTGACCCTGCTCAAACATCTCCTGGCAGTTTCTCATCATAGGGAAGAGTGGAGCCAACATCTTGCCTTCATCATCTCTTTGACAGATGCATCTCTGCTCATCACGTACTTCGATCAAATCACTGACTTCCTGGTGACTCCCCAGTCATGTCTGGTACCCACATGTGTGTCCAAGCCTTTGGACTTGTTCCATCCTTGGGGCTCAACTCTTTCATGTCTTGACTCAAACACCACACTCTCGGAAGAACACTCCAGGCCTGTTTTATTTCCAGTTAACTCATTCTGCTTCTATGATGAACTGTCCTCTTTCCTCACTAACTTTTCTCTCTACTGGGCATTATCACCAGATTCCTATAAGTTTTACACATTTTTCTAACCATCTAGTAAATTTAATGAGGACAGGGATTTTTTTTTCTGTCTTTCTTTTCAATATTGTAGCAATGTATGGCATATAGGAGGCAGACCTAAATATTTGTTAAGCTGGTGACGTTTACATATAGTCCTATTAATGACAAGGCAAGGACAAGGAGGGCTTTTATACCCAACATTCGAAATTATCAATTTCCTAGACAGCCAATTCAGTCATGTAAGAAAAAGTGAGTATGATGGGAAAGGAAACACATGTTTGATGATTTATAAGCAACATGGTTGCCTAGAAAGCAATTCTGAAGGATTGAGGGGACGCTTGGTCACAGACAGCCCAAGAATCAGTCCTGCAAAACCAGTTTATTTTTAAAATACTAGCACCAATAATCAGAATATATTTTGAAAGGCATAAATCAAATAGCAAACTTTTAAAAAGTACTATATCTAAAGATCATATAAGAGCTTGACGGAAGGACTATACGCCTAGATAAAGACTGATTATTACTCTGAGACTGGCCATTTTCTTAGTCAATAGCATCAAATGT